AGTGTTATATGAAATGTATGAAATGTATGAAAAATCATGAAAAAATACCCCAAATTTACATAATTCACATTTTTTCTGGCAAGGTAAACTCCCTGTACTGCAGAGGATAAAGATTTGAAAATACTGAAACAATAGATAGGTAAACAGGGTTCAGATATAGCTCACCTGTAAAGATCACCTGTACTATAGAGAATAATAGATTGAATGATGGTGATTGGTGTTCAGAAAACCTGTTTGTTTCTCATGATACTGATCTGCGATATTCTGGTTTGAAATATTGAACATCCGATTGGTTTGTTTAGGTGCTTGTCCAATCAAAATTTCTTTTTGTAGGTACTAAGTTTAATATCTGATGGAATCAAACAGACTCTAATGAGGAAGAAACAAGTGAAATTAATGAGATTTGTTCAGATTAGCAAGTGTGGGTGTCAGAGACTATGTTCAGGTCGATTTGTTCAAATCACATTCAGCTCTTATTTCAAACCACCTCTTCTAAAACACCCCGTTTTCAGCAACCATAATTATTCAAACAGGGCTGATCATAGAGATAATCAGAGTGATAATAGTAATTTTTTTCTGCACCATGTGGGATAGTAGTGATCAATAGTGATCAACCTTACTCTCTGACTAAATTGCGCTTTGAATCGAATTTTTCTCTCATGCCATAAATATTCAGAATAAAATTTTCAACTGTATACCATTTGTCTTAGAATGTTTACAGGTCCATAGAGATATAAGGTGGAGTGATTTTACACGTATACGAAACTACGCATGGTTCTTCCGTGGAAATAACACACACGAACGATATTCACTGTCATAAGTATAAGCCGAATTTTTCAAAAAGCTTTAATATCTCAATAATGCCTTCAATTCACAATTAAAGGTTTAGAAATAACTAGAAATATGATTTGAAGGCTATGGAGGCAATCTAAGACTCTCAGTATAGTATTTTGTAATTGATATTTCAATTCATATGGATATAATTGCCCAAATGCAACTCAAAAAAGATTGTATTGAGAGAGTAAGCAGCATTTTAGGGGTAGAGGTGACACACAATATAAAGTATGTCTATGGTCATAAAAGAGTTCGAAGAACCAAGGGTAAGAGATGAACTGATCGTATTCGATTGAATACTCCAGTATGACTATCGGTGTGAAATGATTAAAGTTGTTTATTGAGGGAAAACATTATTTGAAAAATTAAACAAAAGATAAGGATATTAACTCAATCCTCAGCATTAAACAAAATGGTAAGGATTTAATTATTATTATATGTATTTACAAAAGAAAACCGCAGAGCGATCCCGAGAAAATGCTGTTATGATAAATTGGTACTTCGTGGTTTCTATTGTAAAAGGAACGGATACCTTTTGTAGAAAAAAATGAAAATTATTGCTAAGTTTTATATTTTAAGGCTCGTGAATAGTTATAATGTAATATCAGCTATATTAATATTTTTCTATTTTAAGTATTTCACTTTTAAAGCATCTGACAAGACCACTGAATCCGTAGTCCGAAACTCCAGCCTCCAGCCTCTGAAGTCACATATAATAATAATATGACATATCGGCTGCTCGGATTTCTCTTCCTTATGTCACGTTATGACATAAAATACGCCTAGGAAAATTTTCGCCTGATCTAGTTACCAAATAATTTTTTTTTTTCAATGTAAGAATCATAGCCTATACGTGGCTTCATATGGTAATGTGACTTAACTATAAGTACACTCCATCTTTAAATCATTCCAAATTCAGGTTGATAGATGCATAGAATTAAATTTACATCGTTTTAAATAGGCCTACATGTAATGAAAATTATGCGCACTGCACTTTTAAATAGTATACAATTTACACTATTATAGATGGCCTACTGTCTATGTTATATAGGTCTACGTTTTCACCTACCCCTTGCAAGGTCAACATAACCCGGTAAAGTGCATTATTTATTATCGGTTCACATGACGTGGTGTAAATAGTGAGTACATGATACTTGAATAGTTGTTAGACTGATGCCACAGAGTGCAAGTAAGTTTATGATTGAATCAAGTTGTTTAACGGACACGAACTTGGTTTACCAACATTTAAAATACTACGCCAATCAAAAACTTTGTGGCCAATTTACCTTGTGACGATGCGACTGCGACATCGGGATAATAACAAACACAAACTTAGTTTAGTTGACCGAAATTTAAATCACTACGCCAATCAAAATAAGTCAAACGACATTGTGGGTTTTTTCGTTTTTTTTTTCTTTGTTTTTTTCTACTTTAAAACATTCTTTCGATGCAAACAGATGGAAAGACAATGAGACGCTACTTTAGTTTTACTTTGTTCAATTCTGAATCCCGCGTATTTCTGGTTTAGAACAGCAACTAGATTTGAATCATGCTTGTAAAATGGGGGACAACTAAGTTCGTGATTTAATTGTGGTTGCTAAAGCGTTGTTTCGGGTGCAGCTTGCACATTTTCGAAGTGCATGACAGATATCCAGTGGTGTATATCAATTCTACAAACATAAAAGTATAGTTTATCTATCCAGTTTCAGATTTGTAAGGATGTCCACTGATTTAACAATCAGACAAGCACGGTTGGAAGATCGAGAGAGCGTTTTAGATATAAATGATAATATTTACAATGGCAGAGACTTTTTACCACATTTCTATAATGACCTTGTCAACAACCATCAAGCGTTTTTATGCCAACAACATGATGGTCTAGTAGTAAGTTCTTTATAAAAAGTAAATGGACTGTATTTTACGTAGCCCGAGAAATCTTGCCCCACCCAGTGTGACCAATTTGCTTTGTGAGGGAATTACTGTGACCAATTTGCTTTGTGAGGGAATTACTGTGACCAATTTAACTTATGGGGGAATTACTGTGACCAATTTAACTTGTGAGGGAATTACTGTGACCAATTTACTTTGTGGGGGAATTACTGTGGCCAATATACTTTGTGAGGGAATTACTGTGACCAATTTACTTTGTGGGGGAATTACTGTGACCAATTTACTTTGTGAGCGAATTACTGTGACCAATTTACTTTGTGAGCGAATTACTGTGACCAATTTTACTTTGTGGGGGAATTACTGTGACCAATTTACTTTGTGAGCGAATTACTGTGACCAATTTACTTTGTGGGGGAATTACTGTGACCAATATACTTTGTGGGGGAATTACTGTGACCAATTTAACTTGTGAGGGAATTACTGTGACCAATTTAACTTGTGAGGGAATTACTGTGACCAATATACTTTGTGAGGGAATTACTGTGACCAATTTAATTTGTCAGGGAATTACTGCGACCAATTTACCTTCTGAGGGAAATACTGTGACCAATTTACTTTGTCAGGGAATTACTGTGACCAATTTACCTTCTGAGGCAATTACTGTGACCAATTTACCTTCCGAGGCAATTACTGTGACTAATTTAACTTGTGACGATGTAACCTGTGATCAAATTAACATGCGGCGATGCTTTTGTGACCAATTTGCCTATATCAATACTATAGCAGAAAAACTTGTTTCACTTAGTATGGAGGTCTATGTGTAATTGGGTTGTATTGTAGGTGGCTTTTGTGTTCTTGGTGGCGGTAGATGGAGGAGAAACGGTTGTAGGTCGTGGAGGTAGAGTTCGGTCCTCACACACCGGTAAACGGATTTTGGACAAAATGTTCAAAACAGTACTCCCCAATGTATATTTACCAAAGCTTAAACGAATTGCATTTTGTATGAATGCGGATGGTGAATATTATATTAACAGAGTAAAGAAATTGGAGATGCTACCAGGAGTAAAACCAGCTTTTTCCTATGTAAGTGAAATATATGTTATTGGAGCTCTGCATTAAAGGTATACTACCTCATAGGATGACCACAAGATTTAAAACTTGGTTAAAATGAGTGTTTATTCACCAGTGGACTTACCTGGTGTTATAACTATACAACAGAATCCCGTATAATCCAAAAAAAATCCATAAAACTAACTATTCATTTATTAAACCAAGTTTTTTCAATAATTATTTAGTTTAATGGATATATAGTCTTATATAGATATTATATTCTTTAGTCATGCGGCACCTGATAAGTCCACCTTTTGAATATATAGACTTCTTGTTGGCGGAGTTCGAAACTTTAAATTTACAGGTTACAGTGAACAACTTGAGGTTTTTGTTCTAATCCTGGTCCGATTGTGAAACTCTAGTGACCTTGAATAAGTTAGTTTTCCTCATTGTATCAGATGACCAAGCTGTAAATGGGTGCGGATAAGCCATGAAAAATCAGGATCCTCGTGAATCTTAGTTGTCATCCTTGTATGAAATTGTTGTTCCTTGCTTTCCTTTGTCTTCCTATACTTGAAATATCCTTCAACGTATATCTTAGTTCTTTATTCTGCAATATTTGAGAAAATATGTTTATTTTTCAGGTAAATTCTTCCTATACAGGTACTTTATCAAGGTTAGTGAAACGGCACACTTCAGAAGTGAAATCTAACGGAGTACGACATGTTGATAAATCAATGTTGATGAGATTATTCAAATCTAAGTCAATATGTGAGAACCTGTTTCCAGATGATATAATGGGCATTCACATGGTACCTTATAAACCAATAGATTCTAATGTTGAGCAAATTGTCTCTGGATCAACTTTAATCGTTTACTCTGGTGATCTGGAAAATACGCGGGAAAATTCTAATATTGTTAGAGGATTGTTAACAGTTGGAACTTATTACTATTGTAAGACAGGGTTAGTCTGTTATATTGATGTGTTTGGAAATGAAGTGAACGACTTTTCATTGCACCTTTCAGAGCACTTAGATAAGATTCAGAGCCTCCCTAAGAATAATATAATATTATATGACGTAGTTACTCCTGTAGATATGGATTTGGTCATTATAGACCAAGAAATGCGACAAGTAGCAAATTTTCAGAAGAAATTCAATCGATATTTTTATTACTCAAAGTTTATAAAATCAAATCTTTGATTATGTTTGCATTCTTTTTAAAAAAAATACCGGAATCTAATATTGTTTCTGATTTCTGAACGTTGTACATGTATTTCATATCATCAGAGTATGTAAATTAAATTAAATGAATGTATAAATGAACACATTTCGACACATTTTCACCCCCTGGGAGTGTGGGTCTAGAGTGTCAGGGGTGTGGTCAACTGGTGTAGGAGAAGAATCTATTTTGAGTTGAGAGAGCACTTCATATCATCACATGCTGGTAATGTGGATTAAACAAATTTTTGGGGTGTGAAAGTTCCACGTGATTGCTCTTGGAGTAGGAAGGCTGAAATAGTTTGGGAACAACTGGACTAAGGCGAGGACATTATTCAACTTCGTTGTTAGCTTGATATGTTACTATTATACTAATTACTGATGTATCGTCTGAACAAAGTAATAAAAAATCTGAACAAAGACAATTCCGTTTATCAAAATCTCATCCAGAGTATGGCAAAATCGAGAGTAAAAGTAAATGATTTTTTGAAGTTTTTCCATAATTTTTATAACAAATGAAAAAAATTATTTTTTAAAATTTCACATTGCTCAGACAATAGATTTGAACATCTCTTTGAATTTTGTAGAGTGCTTAGAATTGGGGCTGACTGGCCTACATACTAAATATTCCCCCTCCCCGCGCACCTTCAAATTTGAGTTCTTAAATACCTTGTGCTTTGTAAGACAATAAGTAATTGAAATTACGAAAGCACAGGCCGAGGTGAAATAAAAGAACTCCTTTATGTCTAATTAAAGTTCAAGTCATTAAATGATGATCACACGTCGGCTGACCTAATAATAAAATAAACAATCGTTAATCAGCGATCAAAAAACCGTTAGACGATTACAAGATACCTGTTATTTACCTGTAGTAGCTATGACGACCATAGCGTGATCACGTGACGGCAACACTACAGGTAACGGTAGTTGTTGAGTGATTGATAGCGGTGGTGGTGATTTATAAACCTAACGCGTGCAGTAAATGGTTAGTTTAATTTAACGTTTGATTAGCAGAAACAGAAGCAAAATGCACAAATCATACAATAATATCTTACCAACTTCAAATCGACTTCTACAACAGAAATGGGACACGACATATTATAACGAACACAGAAGAAAGGTAAGATTTAGTCATATATATAAACGATATACTATTATACGTATGTCTGTATATCTTATAATACACCTGAGGTTATGCTTGAATTATTTTGAATATGATATAAGATATGTTTTAATTGTTAAATAACATGTTATTATTGAATATACATGTAAACCTCCAGAGGTGAACAAATTATTAAAGTACTCATAAAGAACGACGTAAGACAATTTAAATGTAATTCTCTATTGTTATAGCTGGCAGGATTTCTCCTTTGCCTGTGTTTTCGGCAATTCCAATTTCATATACTTTATACTACCATTCTCACCTAAATGAAAATTCTGTAAAAAAAAGTATATTTTGGTTAAGTGGCACATCAGAATGGTATAATATTAAGCAACAAAAAATCTATAAGGCTTAGTCCAGCCTTTTTAAGGTCTTTTTTTTTCAGTCATTTTAGGTTATGAGTTAATTATCCAACTGCATCACCGTTTACAATTTAAGTCAAAACTTTTTTTTCTTTTAATTAAATGAATTAAATCTATAGGCAAGACAAATGTCAAATTTAAATGTCAGTTTAAAACCTAATATAGATAATGTAGGTAGGCTGAGATCAATAAAACTACATCTTTACACAATATCTGACCAGTTTATAGTGGGTAAAATTCAGTTGGTACAATATATTCAGATATTTCCAGAATTGCATATAATTTACATAAAAGTTCTAAGTGTGAGAAAAATTGCTTCTGATTTTGAAGACAGGCAGTTTTTTTGTAACTTTAGGAGTCTTGACTGGCATACATAGCTAAATAACATCCCTGCTATGAAATGGTGTACAAAAGACAATAAACCAATTTATATTTCTCTAAACACAGAAAAATACAAAGCCATTTGATAAGAGAGAATTATGAAATATTAATCAGAATCTGATCTGAATCTTTATAACTTTGTTTTGGGACACAAAATCCTATGAAAGGATTCATTAAAATCTTATCAATCACTTAAAACGAGACTATTTGTCTGTTATTTTTGCTTGAAATTCAATTATAGTCAATTTAACTGTGTTTGGCTTGAATAGATTCACTGAAAAGATTCATTAGGAGATCAGTGTTTCTGACTTTTACTAGTAAATAAGTGACGATAGTGAAACTCACCATGGGACATAGTTAATTGCACTGACTAATATTGTGTATATGGTGACAACAATACCTAATTGAATTATTGATCAAAATATGAAATAGCTCTCAGTTGGTCTCTTCATAAACATGTTCAAAACAATGCAACACCTTGAAATTAAAGGGATTGTTAAAAAAGCTGACGTCAATAATTACCAAGGGCCTTATTGGATAAAGCCTATTTTGTAATTAGTGATGTCATCAAACACTTAGTTCTGATTGAAAATAGGTAAAGTGCAAAGTGTCCCCGATACACATTTTGAAAATATGACATCATCCATAACATCTATAAACTAATATAAATCAAAAAGTAATATAAATTCTCCAATTTATAAGTAAATACTAATTTGAATTCTTCTATTTACAAGTACAAATTAATTTGAAATAGATTGTACTTGTATAGATTTTATTATAAATAGAGATAGAAGATAAATAGAAATTACAATTACTTTCCTATAAATTTTATTAAGTAAATAAGTTATCTGAATAATAATGATATATCTATTGACTTAGAGTGATATTGTAAAAGTCAATATTATTTCTAACTTTGATCAATTACTTAACAATGTTTACTTGTGACCTAGACCAGTGCTTCTACTAGAGAGTATCTCCTATCTATAACATCCAATACAAATTTTAATGGGTCTGAGCATGCATAATATTCTGAAACAAACAATCAATATCTGTCACAGTCTTAAGTTTGAAACCAAAATAAAAAAGAAATCGTTTTTATCTTATCTTTTATATTGTGTGTGCAGCTAATGTTATATTTATTTAAAGGTATACTATCTCTTAGAATGACCACAAATTCAAAACTTTCAAACTTGTCCAAAATGAACTTCATCAGTGAGCTTACCTGGTGTTAAAACTATATGACAGAATCCCTCTATAATCCAATAAATCCATAAAACTAAGTAATAATCCCATAAACTGAGTAATTTGAAACACACTAAGAAGGGTTTTTCAATAATTACTTAGTATAATGGATATATTGTCTTATATAGAGATTCTATTCTTTAATCATGGCACCTGGTAAGTTCAACTGATAAATATATACACTTGTTGACCAAGTTTGAGATTTTAATTTGATGTCCATTCTAGGGTAGTGTACCTTTAAGATAATGAGAAAAATAGTGAACACTGTATTCAGTTAGGAAAATCTCTAATAATGGCAAAGATCAATAATATGATGTAACATAATAGATAACTGAAAATTCTTTCTTATAAATCACTCAGTTCATCAGTTGTTTGCTTCTCTACAAGTTTATAACTATTTATGAACCATGTTTTTTATAAAGATATTGATTGTGTAGAATTTGAATCCACTGAATGTCTTTAATATCTGATAAATAAAATAAGTATTATTTGGATCACAAATGATACATCTCAATGCAGTTTTGGTTATCATAAGGAATTATATCACAGTATTTTATTTGTTGACTCTTTGATGCTTACGTTTAGCCCTGTATGAAGTGAAGTGTAGGCTACTGCTCAAATGAGGGCTGATTGAAAAGTTGTGAGCCTACTTCTAAAGGAAGAAGGCTCACATCTTATCAATCACTCGTAAAATAGAAACATTATCAGTTTGACTTGATCTTTAGTCAAATAAAAGACACAGGAGTATATTGGTCCATATCAATATATTGATTAATTCTTTTCAATACCCAGTATTTAACTGATAGACTATATTATGATAATCTGTATTTATTTAACTTACTGATCTCTATATAATATGTCAACATCTTACCCCGTTATTCCTGTCAACTCATTTATAAAGTTGTGCAAATTAATCCTGCAATGCCAAGAGTTTTGGCCAAGGACCAGCTGGTAGAAATGTCCATCATGAACATTATTTTCGTACATAAAAATGGTTCTGTCAAAGTGAAAATTTGATATACAAAAGTTTAAATGTATTTCAGGTACGAGATGTCAAGTCTATGGTGGATACTAAAGCTCCCCCTACATACATGCACCTTCATCTTAAACTTAAAAAATTCCAGGTAACCATAGTTTTCCTGATTTATTTTTTAATGTCATTGGAAGTTATAACAATTATATGATCAAAATTCAATGTCAAATTAAGTAAATTAGAAGCGAAACTTTTTTCAATTTATTATTTCAAAATACTTGTGTATACCTTTTTCTGATTTGAGTGGATGTCCAGTATATTAATTATTAAAACTTGTGACATATATAGTTGTATATCATGCTAAATGAAATATTGTAAAGACTTCATTTACATTAATCTGAGGTTATTTTATGATTTTAAGCTGGAGGAAGAAAGATTGACTACTATAGAAAGAGATAACAGAATATTACTAGAGAAAATGGCGTATATTATGAGAACGAGGGGACGTATTGACAACAAGAATGATTATGTCTATCAAAGGTACATATACTTTTTTCCTCATCAACGAAATAACAGAAAAACCGACCAAAGATATTTATGCACATCCTGGCCACGTATTCTCGAGACGATCTTAGCACTAGGATGTCCGAGAATCAATGTTAGAAGATAAGAACCTAGGACATCCTAATGCTAAGATCATTTCAAGAATAGGTGATCTGGACTGATTCAGAACTTAAACACACGCTGTCAACATTATTTTGAGTTAGGATAGAGATAAATGAACACAAGTCTGGTTTATACTTCTTATTCTACAAAAGCGATAATAATATGCAATTGATTATGATTATGCCGTATTCATGTAAACCTTTTGAATAGTTTGGCATTCTAAAAATTAAGCAGGATTCTTTTAGTTATTACTTTTAAAATAAGTAGGTTTTAATTAATGCGAGCACATAACCTTCACAAGCTACTAAAATAATCAGACTACCTCTTTAATATATTTTATTTTAAATTGTAGTTTAAATAGAGAAAAGAGACAGAGAGAATTATTACGTGTTGCTAAAGATAATCAGGAAATATTACGAAGAATTACCGCCAGACAACCAGAATACTCCGCTAAAAAATGGAACGATGATTGGCAACAAAATCAGAAATTTATGGACAGTATTTCTCATTTCCCACAAGATTGGTGGAAACAGGTTAGTCAAATAAAACTTAAATCACCTTATTTCTTTACTTTAAAACATTTACAAAACAAACAGGACTTAGGAATATAAAAGACTGTCAAACTCTCTAAAATTGTTACTTTATGTTACCTAAAAGTTATCTAAACATCTAGTATTAGACAAAACTTACATCAAAATTGATTTTTTTGTAAATTCCTTAAAATATTTTGAATTGCCTTTTTCCAGAATAAAAATACCAAGAGATCTAAGAGCAGACAATCTATGCGTAGTAGAAAATCTACTGACAAAGAAGCAGAAAAGTCTACAGAAACTGAAAAATCTAAAGATACTGAAAATAAATCAAAGAAAGAGTCATCAACAGAGTCTAAAACAGAATCCAAAACAGAACAGCAAAAAGAAACAAGTCAAACTAAACAGAAGGATACAACTAAGAAAGACACTGAAGAGCCTGAATCTAAAGTTGTAGAAGTGGAAAAAGATTAGATCTCATGGAATAATTAACATTCAATAATCCCATTGAATATTATTAAGTATTAACATGATCAAAATTTGGGCTTGGGCTTTATTTTCGAAAACTAAATTACTAAAAATCCAGATTTTAATCTGACTGGTGAATGAAACTAAATACAAAAGTGATTTTAGTGATTAACTAAATATAGCAAATCTTCAAAAGTTTAGTTTTCAAGAATAAGGCCTATAATTATTGATTTTAGTCCTATTTACCCGGCCAGTCATAATATAATAATGTGCCTAATAACTGAAAACTTACGGTAAAACAGGTTTTATTGGTTCTTTATGAATAACATTGTCATGCGGAATTGGGTTCAAAGATATTTTTGTCTGTTTAGAGATCTTAAGTTTTATAGTGCATTGTTTTATATTCAGACACTATTGTTTAAGATTTTATTTTAGACCTTCCCTCTTCTTTTAATCTGGTTGTAAATTGTCTTCTGAGGAGGAGAAACACAAATATTTTTATCTGTTTTAGAGATCTTATTGTGGATTGTTATGTGTTTGATTTTTTTTTGTGATATTCACATTCTTTGAAAGTAATAATCCTGTTACATTGGTGTTAATCAAAACAAGGATTAGAATTTAATTTCACTTTTTGAAGTATTATAATCATACTATGATCACTCCTCGATTTCGAATTGAGTTTCGGAAGGAGTATACTCTTACTAAATATTTTCAGTATTTGCCTACAAATTTTATTAGCTGCATTAAAACATAAAGAAATATCTTGAAGTGTGATATTAAGAATGATTAAGATTATTGCTATATGACACGGTGTTGTATTGTATTTAAGTATGATATTAAGATTATTGCTATATGACACGGTGTTGTATTGTATTTAAGTATGATATTAAGATTATTGCTATATGACACGGTGTTGTATTTGATTTAAGTATGATATATTGTTAAATAACACTAGGTGTTGTATTGTATTTTTCTCACTAGATGTTGCCTAGAACAATTTGTATATTGCTCAAGCATTATTTGATTATTGTTACTGTGATAGATGATTATATTTCTAACTGTGATAGTTCACTTTATCTTATTATTTATAAAGAATGTTAAATTATATTATTTTATGTTTTACCTTAATTATTTTCATTGTGTAGGCTACATCAAGCAGTAGGCCTATACGTTTTTCAGTTTAAATTTCAAACTTCAAAGGCAGGGGCTAACATATCATCTTCACAATGCCAAGCTATTATGAATTTTGTCTTGTACCTTGCTTGACTGCATGTTTTGTTGTGTCAGAGAAGTTTATAAAAGCAAAGAAAATTGAAAGAGAAACTACATTTCTAGTACTTATGGAGACTATTTACTGTATTCAAGTCTCAAATCAACCCTCTAAAATGGCACTATGTAACTTTAATGATTATTATGAAACTATAGTTTTTTTGATAGAGATTACAATTGTTATTACAAAAATAAAATTTAAAAATCACTTGAATATTTTATTATTTATAAACTAATGTTTGACAGAATACTATCTTTTAGAATAAACATGAAATTTAATATCTCAAACATGGACAGAAAGAAATTATCATTAAAACTACAATTTTAAGCGTTTTTATTTTTATTGATTTATCTGGTTATACAGGGATTCTGTTGTATAGTTATTTCACCTGTTGACACCAGGTAAGTCCCCTAATGAATATATAAACATATTGGCCAAGTTTGAGAATTAAAATTTTAGGTTCATTCTAGAGAGAGTAAGCTCATAGCTATTATTTAGATATATTTAGATATTCTTTAAAGACATGCATGTGTGGTTTAAACCGAGGTTATCTCCCTTGGCACATTATCCTGCAATGTTACATAATATTCTGACTTCTACATACTCATAATTTCATATTTATATCTTCGAATTAAAAGGATTTTGCAGCCTTTAATAGGATTAGTATATGGTCATTTCAACTGACTTTCAAGAAGTAAATTATCAACAGAAACTTTCACAAATTATCTCCCCTGAATAGAATTCTCAAATTGGCTTACTCACCACATTGTTTACAGAACAAATCAGTTTTACGAATTTAAATATCAACTACTAAGTACTACTGAGAGTGTTAGATTGTGTTTGGGCTGATGTTAACCAATGTAAAAAAAAACCAATCTGTAGTCTAGACGGGAAGTTTCAGTCTGAAATGTTTGTCATTTTCCCAGGGTATTTCTTATAGGGGAGTGTTTTTATTCAATGTAAAATTATCAAAGCTCTTATGTCTATGGATCTACTATCACCTCATCCATCAGCTTCATATCCCTCTCCACTTATTGAAATAAGATTGCAATTTCTTTCGATTTTTTTGTTTACTGATAGTTTTCTGCCACAATCCTGTTCTGACATTACTTTTAATCTGGGAGCCGCGGTGGCTCAGTGAGTTAGACGCTTGCTCGCTAACCTGAGGGCCCAGGGTTCAATCCCGGCATAGGTCGAGATAATACCTTCGGATTTTTCAACCCGGTTTCCCCCTGTCAGTGATGCAGGTAAGAGGGGCTGACATGGAAAAAGCGTCTAGTCGTTCGGATGGGACAATAAACCGAGGCTTCGTGTGCTACAGGCTGTGCACGTTAAAGATCCCTCGACAGTTGGAAATCGAAAAAGAGCAGGCTAATGCCGCTGTCCTGGCAAAATTTCCCTCATGGCACCCTGCATGGCGTTGCCCGTCTTCATTAGCCCACAAGGTGCAGAAGAGTAGGACGTAAAACTCCATTCATTTCATTTCATTTACTTTTAACCTATCAAAGCATGTCGTGTAGAAACAAATATCTTGATAACATAACAAATGGTTGGATAGTGAAACCTTAAGTACCAATGACCAGCTGGTAGACAGTATCCTCGCGAAACTAAATTGTTTTCCTTGTAAAATCAATCCTTGTAGAAAGGATCCTTGTGAGCCTAAGTTGTTTTCCTTGTAAAATCAATCCTTGTAGAAAGGATCCTTGTGAGCCTAAGTTGTTATCCTTGTAAAATTATTACCAAAAGTTTTGAACAATCACCAATTGATATAAATTATCCCTAGTAAGATGATTGACAGCGGACTATGACAGAACCTTTGGGTTTGCTTCGCTAAATTTTCCACATGGGGGGTCAGGGTATCTGTTCATTCAATTTCTATCTGACATGCTCTCCTGGAACACATTGAAATGAATAAAACAACCTCAATGGCAAGATGAGTGATATCTAATGTATGTGTGTATTTGATGCTGAAAGTAATATTGTATGAGAATGATGCTATTTAACTAACAAGATATCTTAAAATAAAAGATCATGATGCTTTTTAGATGTTTTATTTACAAAATAATATTACTATACAATATAAAAGGGAAAATAAATAATCACAATATTGCTTCACAAAGCCAAATTATTATCAGATGTCTATTGGAAAGATACCACAAATGTGACCCTGCACATCAAACCAGGTATTAAGTAGCATTTGGTGTTTGTAGACCTATTATTATATTTGGATTCCTGGCATTATCAGCTACATTTTGATACCAATTCCATCTCAATAGCTTTCTCTGTTCAGAAGATATAGTATTTAATATCCAGATTTGATACTTTAATACTTCACTGCCAGCTCATTACTTGGCAGTACAACTTAATACCTGATACAATGTACGGAGTCACAAATGTATCTTCTAAGTTCAAGCCTACAACAAATAACCTCAGAAAAATACAGTTTACAAATCGAAGGAAAACAAATAATTTATCACAATATTGCTCCATACAGTCAATTTCTCATCAGATGTCCACCAAAATTTTATCACAGAAGTTCCTACAAGTTCCAGTCAGAAGATAAAAACAAAACCCTATTGTGTGAATGTTTTTAGCATGGCCAGATATCCGACATTTAAAACCTGTAATCTTTTCTTATTCACAGTAAAAGAATACTTCACAAAAGGCTGGAGGTTCATATCAATTCTCAATGTTTATTTTAAAATACAACAGTTGACATCATCATGACTTTATTTTCTATAATATCTTTTAACCATTTCTCACGAAATCTTGACTGGCCTGGTCTGAAAAATGACATTTAAAATATTATCATTTGATATAGGTTTTGGATTATATAAAGTCTCTAGTACAATCATTAGGTCAGGTGGCCAAATAGGGGCCACAGAATTGGGCGGAGGGAGCATAGCCTCACTTAACAACCCATAGAAATGCCACTTCTACAGAAGTACTTTCAATTATGTGACAAGAAGAGTACCAGTAATTGTGTTGATGTTGATTAAGATGGAAATAGAGAGGTACATCATAAAACCAAGCTTATTTATATTTTCTTTCTTTGGATTAGTCATCTGAGTGGATGATTGAGGTTGTCAAGATCCATAGCATAGAAAATAAACTGTATTATATTTCTAACTATATTATAAAAGAGATAATTTACCTGTGTACAAGTCTGTTGGTTTCAAAAACATAAAAAACATCAACTACATGATCCTGTAAGAAAATAATATGATTACTGTAGATACAATAACAAAATATCTTGTTGTTAAAATAGTGTAAATACTAGTGATTAATACTGGTGTAAATACTAGTGTTAAAACAGTGTTAATACATCTATTTTAGAGCAATACAGAAATATTAAAGAAGAACTGGAACCATGATGTTAATCAGGACCTCACAATCACAATCTGTTCTGGAACAAATGGATTCCAATTGAATGTAAAAATATTATGTCAAAACTATTCAAGTATGGAACCAATGTTTTGCTTTGCTTAGTTTTTCAGGTTTTTATTTTGTCTATGAGAATTTTCGCACAAACCTGAGGTTTAATTTTGGAAACAACGAAAGTGAAATAAACACAAGCTGTGGCTCTAGGTACTGGTTTTCTTCTAGTTGGTATACTCCATCGTACTCGGAAACGATAACGGTGATCAAAGTCATGGTCATCTTTCCCCAGGAAATCTACACAGGATAACCAACTATCTTGATATTCCCATGTCTACAAATTACATAAAGTTTTATAATAGCGATGTTTTCATACAATTACCGGTACTGATAGGAAATGGAATTCACAAAATTAGAAATGAATCAGACAAAGAATTATGTTAGTATACTCAAAGATCCCTATTTTTCACTTCATTGATTGCAAGGTTCAGTCCTATACAGTGAGAGAGTAAGAGTTCATGGAATTTTAAAATGCAATTTCCTATTTTGTGAAGTCAAAAATTTATGATAAAAATCAGTGAAAAAATCAGAAACAAACAGCTACAATCTCAAGACAACTCAAAGAGGCCAAATTTCTTTTAAAATATTGAATCCTCACCTTTATAAATTCATCAATCTTTTCCTCAGCCTTGGGAATACTAAATTCACTTATTGTTAACCATTTAATATTCCTCACTTCATAATTCTCTTCCTTAGCCATGACTGGTTTCATGTTTTTATTTTCTCTGGCAAAATCAAAATATCCCAGGGATTCGAAAGTCTGATCCCTTTCAGACATACTGGTTTCTAATCTTCTTAAAGCTGAATCTATAACATTATCTACTAGAGCTTTAGCTTGCTCATCATACACTTCAGGATCCATTTTATATTTCTAAAATTTACTCCTGAAAAAAATATGAATTACAGTCATACAAAATTTCATGTCCAATTCCAATTGGCATTCACAATTCAAAATGACAGCCATCAGCAAATGTTAATGTCACATACCATTTTGTAGTATTTCATTTGCTGAAAAACATAGGCCTAGTATAAAAAGCAATCCAAGCTTGGCAAGAAGACTTTGAGGAAGACTGTCGTTATCAGTAACCATGGTAATCATTTTAAATTAATCGAATCTTTCACTTACAGACACTATCTCAATATCTCCAGAATCACAAAATTTTTCGAATCCTGTCTTAATCTTAAAAATATAAAAAATGAATAAAAATTTGAAATAAAAAATCTTCAAATGTCAGCCATATTGTAAACAGTTTCTATGACCACATTCTCAGCCAATCATCTAGGAGGATTTTCTTTCGGTTTTGACAAATTGGTGGTTTAGTGGTTTTAAATAAAAAAACGAAACTTTACAATTGATCACACAAAACTATTACGCTCTATTCCATTATAAGCCAAAATGAATATTGAAAAAAGTGCTTTTTGCAATTTAACAACAAATGAAAATACTTGAAAGCTTCCAATAAATTTTAATAATCCATATCAAAAGTTTAGAATCTTGTTCCTAATGCAATTTTACGCAATCCTTAATCCGAACTTGTTTATAATAATGCATTCCTTATTCAATTTGAAATAAATGTCTCTGTTTTGTTTTCCACAAAACGTAAACGAATACTATGGAATAATTCTATTTCTAAAACGAATAATGTAAAAGTGCTACTTCAATTCTTGCCTCAGTGGCATGAACATTGGTTCAATACAAAATAGCTCTAGAAACCAAAACTTCAAAACAAGTACAACTGAAATTATGGCGGATGAATCAATCACCGAATCTGGCGATTCTTTGATGAAAGATGCAAAAAGAGACTTGTCATTTCTCAGAGATAAAGTTAAAAGTTATATTGACAAGGTATTTTACTTACTTTATCCACTTTTCATTGTCAATGACTGTTTTTGTGTTGTTTTCTCTATCAATGTGACCTAATGGTTGGGGGCCTATGTGTTGCAATGCCAAAAAGACAGTTTCATTTATTCATATTGTTTACGCTCCCGATACAGCTATGTCATACGACATAGTTTCTATGATAAAGATAAAACTACTAGACCACTCAGTTTTAAATGTTCAAGAGCGCTCAAAGCTAGAACATAAAGATATGGCATGAATGAATGAACCCTAACCAAGGTGTATTAATCGCACTGTTGCTGTTTCGCCCCTCTCCCCTTCCCGTAGAGCTATCGATTTGAAACTTGGCAGAGAGATATGTGTCCTGAATATTCACAACCAAGTCTAGAAGCGTGCTTACAACAAACCGAAGATCAGTAAGAAAAGACCAAAGTTTGTCATGAATCTGACCTGTGCATTACAGCTTGGTCATTCTGATTCCAGTATCATGTAAAAACCTTCGAATCTTGTCATGGTTTGATAGGTAAGGTCTTATGACTTATGTGTTGATGATCTTCATTGGGTCGGATAGCGTTTTAACTCGTACAGAATGTGGTATTATATAAACAAATAAATATTAAAACAAATAAATTGTAAAATCAATGTCTACTCCACAATATTATTATTTATATTTAGCATCATTATGAATCTGCATTATTTTGGGCTGATAAGATGGTATCACTCTCAGATGGTAAGTTTTCAATGTTGTATCAATGTGGAATGTACCGGAAGTCAAGTACTAAATTTAGTGTTGATCTTTCTTTAAACACTACTTTATTTAAAGTTTTTGCTTCATTATTATTACAAACATATATATAGTAACAAAGTAAACAAACTACTTGCATTTCTGAAGTTAAGTTCTTTTTCGGATAAAAACAAAAATCTAGCATTTTGCTTACGATAAGATGAATAAGAGATAAGACGCACATCTAACCTGGCTGTAAGATTATGTTAAATGATGTAAAAACATCTAATTTTTATCTATGTGGAGCTACAATTATCTACAATTATTGTTCACAGAAATAAATAGTGTGTTTCTACTTTTTAATGTGTCTCTTCGTGTGGATTATTGTAGGATTACCAGAAGATTTATACTGGTATGCACAGACCCTTTATTTAACAGGCCAATATCACAGAGCTTCACATTTATTGAGGAGTAGAAGATTAGATAAGGTAAGGAACTAGGGTGATATCATTTTGAGAATAGAAGAAATGGGCACAAATTCTTAAACCTAATAGAATTAAAGCTGAAGTGTTTAACAAATAAAAACTTCGAAAGGGGATTATTCTTCTATGTAATAACATCAATATTTTTCTTTTACTTATTTCAGATGTATCTTGCCTGTAGATATCTAGCTGCCAGATGTCATGTAAGTAACATAGAACAAATATTTACTATAGATTACTCAAATTGAGTAAAATTGAAGCAAGTTAAAGGGATTGTAAAGAAGTTTTTAAAAGTATTGTTGTTCTTCATTTTCAATAATACTAAACATTTAACAGGTGTTTTATATTGCTATAAAAACCTGTGTTGTTTTGTATGGTTATGATTTTTCTTTCGTTTTAAATAATTTTATAGAACAAAACAACATATTGGTACTGGTACTTAAAAAAAGTATTGCATTATATACCCATATCATGATACCAATATGAACCAATATTAATATCTGTCATTGTGATTCTGTTTATTCCAGTATCAATATAAAGACTATCAAGAAGCGTTAGATATATTAGATGGTTTAGATAATAATTGTAGTAATTCTAACATGACCTCTCTACCTAGTCTCAGTTTTAATCAAACTCAATCAGATGTTATATTTCCTATTAAAGATGTAAGTATTATTACTTGTTGAAATGGTTAACCACTTATATTAAGTGATTAAGGTAGGCGGAGCTGACATGGAAAAAAGTGTCTAGACGTTCAGATGTGACAATAAACCAAAGCTCTTTGTGCAACAAGATCCTTTGACAGTTGGAAATTCTGGCGAAATTTCATCATTTGCACACTGCATAGCATTACCAGTCTCCCATTAGACAGGTGCAGAAAGGTTTCATTCATTTTCATGTATGCTGTAATTCTAGTTCATTTGTATTTGTGGTAACAATTCAGTATTTAATTTATTTGAATGTTGTTTTCAGATAGAAAATTCTATATTATTATTACGAGGTCAGATCTATGAAGAAATGGATAATAGAAGTCTAGCTGCTGATTGTTTTCAGAAAGCTCTACAACATGATGTTTATTGTTTTGAAGCATTTGAATTATTAGTCAATCATCATATGTTGACATCTAAAGAAGGTTAGATTAAATTTATTGGACTACAACTGTGTTCCAATATTTCCCTGATATTTTTCTTCTCCATTGTGATCTAACAATGTTTCTAAGACAGTATGGTACTTAGACCTAAGACCAGTCGAAAACCAAGTAAAGACCTTAACAAAATGATGGTTGTAATATAAGTTTATCTTGTAAAAATATAAATTGATTTAAAGGGAGAGGTAGGCCATTTTCGGGGGTTGATTTTATTCTTGAATATATGTGTATAGTCCTTCAGAAGTACTAGAAATGTACGAAAATCAAATAAATCCTTTAAAAATACTTCAAACTAGGAATTTTACTCACTATTTCTATTTATGTCTTTTCTATATATCACAGAGTATCTTAAATTGACAAGTGGTCATTTTAACATTCTAACGCAGATAATTCTGTACACACATGGATTTGGAGGTTCAAATTCCGATGGTGAGCTGTGAACATTATTACTGATTAGCTCAGCTAAAAAATTCCAGTTTCTTATACTGATGTATGATTGGTCAAACAAATAGCCTACCTGTCCCTTTAATAGTAATATATGAATTCTGATTTCAGAACATGACCTATTAGAATCTTTACCATTCTCTTCACAATGTCCTCAAGATGAAATACAACTTGTTAAATTTTTATATCAAGACAGATTAAAAAAGGTAAGATTGTTTTATTGAAAATGGTTATTATAAACAGTCAAATTTGTAGAAAGAATGTGGTCAGACTAATACCTAGAATTGGCCGCTTACTGAAGGCAGTCAGTTTGCAAAAGCCTGATTAAATTACAGGTATATCCAAGTATAATTTAACATTAATTATAATGTTTAATCTAAGGGTTTGTTGAAAGGTTTCCCAGTTTTTATGTGGGTATCGTGACCATTTATGGATTCTTTTTGGAATATTCTAATTATCTGTCAGATGTGTCTGGTTCCTGTAATAAAAGGAATGCTTTATGAAACCATATATGAAGTTTAAGTGAATTACTTCCAGCTTCTGTGTTAGTGAATTCTTATAAGGCCTAATTTTGTGGAATTGTACAACCCTCAGATGTCTGCTTGAATAATGCAAATCAATGCTGTCAGTGTCCCAGATATACATATATTATTGATTATATTGTAGTATGATGAACCAGGCAATCTAAAAGTACCAGAATCTCTGTTATGTCTACAAGATAATTTAGATACAGTTGTTAATTTAGCAGAAAGACATTATTATAATTGTCATTTTAGAGAATGTTATAATTTAACTTTATCGTAAGTTTTAATACTGTTAGATATCAAATAATCAATTTCTATTTTATGGCTAGTGCTTCTATAACAACCAAAACAAGCATTTGTTGAGAAAAAACTTAAAGGGATTAATTCACAACGTTATGAAATCTCAAATTAGTTTGATTTCCATAATTTATTTTATAAGGGTTGCATTTCTTGGTGTAATGGTTTAAGACAACTACTATTTCTAGAATATTATTCAATCTACAATAAACATTTAAATTGTAGGAATTAATAGAGTGGATTTATGTTAAATTTTTAGAAGTATGAATTTAATGTATTTAATAGACAAATCATTATTTAATAGTATTTTATATTTGTATTTTAGTGTTTTAGGTAAAGACCCATATAATTATAAATGTTTACCAATACATATAGCAGTGTTAACAGAACTTAAAAAATCTAATGGTATGTTTTGATATTTAAGATTAATATACTAAAGTATGGATTGAAAATGTGATTGTTAAATAAGAGATGCTAGTGGGATTTGTTGCCAGAAATAGACTTGTCAGGGTATATCTTAGAGTGTGGTTTTATAACATCATTTGTCTTGTTGCCAGAGAACATAAACCAAATCTTATATTTATCAGAAGATAAATCCTTGTACGTTATTATTTCGGTCAACAAGTTTGGAGACATTCAAGCATGAATTATATGACAAAAAGAGCAATTTTTTGTTCTGATAACTTAAAAAGTACATGTCCATTTCTTTTCAATTTGGAAGCAAATTTTCATCTGTTTTATTGCAATTTCTTCATTATTTCAGCATTATTTTACCTAGCTCACAAATTAGTTGATTTTTATCCCAATAAACCTGTAAGTATTGACTGTTAATAGACTTAAATGTTTGTATATATTCTATTAAGTAATAGTTAGATCATATTATGTAAAAACACTAGCTGTTGATTGAAATGTCACATGATTCAGAAATTCTTCGTCATTAAGATAGTTACTTAATATAAAATTTTGCCAATGGATGAAAAAGTGGGTTAGGTTCCAATAATTCTGATACAGACACAGATAACAACAGATATATTAGTAGTAATTGAGTACTTTTTTCTATTTTGTAGATATCCTGGTTTGCTGTAGTTTGTTATTATAAATTAACAGTAATGTATAATATAACTATTGTATTGTAGATATCCTGGTTTGCTGTAGTTTGTTATTATATATTAACAGTAATGTGTAATATAACTATTGTATTGTAGATATCCTGGTTTACTGTAGGTTGTTATTATATATTAACAGTATTGTATATTATAACTATTGTATTGTAGATATCATGGTTTGCTGTAGGTTGTTATTATATATTAACAGAATTGTATATTATAACTATTGTATTGTAGATATCCTGGTTTACTGTAGGTTGTTATTCTATATTAACAGTATTGTATATTATAACTATTGTATTGTAGATATCATGGTTTGCTGTACGTTGTTATTATATATTAACAGTAATGTGTAATATAACTATTGTATTGTAGATATCTTGGTTTACTGTAGGTTGTTATTATATATTAACAGTAATGTGTAATATAACTATTGTATTGTAGATATCATGGTTTGCTGTACGTTGTTATTATATATTAACAGTAATGTGTAATATAACTATTGTATTGTAGATATCTTGGTTTACTGTAGGTTGTTATTATATATTAACAGTAATGTATATTATAACTATTGTATTGTAGTTATCCTGGTTTACTGTAGGTTGTTATTATATATTAACAGTAATGTATATTATAACTTTTGTATTGTAGATATCCCGGTTTGCTGTAGGTTGTTATTATATATTAACAGTAATGTGTAATATAATTATTGTATTGTAGATATCATGGTTTGCTGTACGTTGTTATTATATATTAACAGTAATGTGTAATATAACTATTGTATTGTAGATATCTTGGTTTACTGTAGGTTGTTATTATATACTAACAGTAATGTGTAATATAACTATTGTATTGTAGATATCATGGTTTGCTGTACGTTGTTATTATATATTAACAGTAATGTGTAATATAACTATTGTATTGTAGATATCTTCGTTTACTGTAGGTTGTTATTATATATTAACAGTAATGTATATTATAACTATTGTATTGTAGTTATCCTGGTTTACTGTAGGTTGTTATTATATATTAACAGTAATGTATATTATAACTTTTGTATTGTAGATATCCCGGTTTGCTGTAGGTTGTTATTATATATTAACAGTAATGTGTAATATAATTATTGTATTGTAGATATCATGGTTTGCTGTAGGTTGTTATTATATATTAACAGTAATGTGTAATATAACTATTGTATTGTAGATATCCTGGTTTACTGTAGGTTGTTATTATATATTAACAGTAATGTGTAATATAACTATTGTATTGTAGATATCCTGGTTTACTGTACGTTGTTATTATATATTAACAGTAATGTATAATATAACTATTGTATTGTAGATATCTTGGTTTACTGTAGGTTGTTATTATATATTAACAGTAATGTATATTATAACTATTGTATTGTAGTTATCCTGGTTTACTGTAGGTTGTTATTATATATTAACAGTAATGTATATTATAACTTTTGTATTGTAGATATCCCGATTTGCTGTAGGTTGTTATTATATATTAACAGTAATGTGTAATATAACTATTGTACTGTAGATATCATGGTTTACTGTACGTTGTTATTATATATTAACAGTAATGTGTAATATAACTATTGTATTGTAGATATCCTGGTTTACTGTAGGTTGTTATTATATATTAACAGTAATGTATAATATAACTACTGTATTGTAGATATCCTGGTTTACTGTAGGTTGTTATTATATATTAACAGTAATGTGTAATATAACTATTGTATTGTAGATATCCTGGTTTGCTGTAGTGTTATTATATATTAACAGTATTGTATATTATAACTATTGTATTGTAGATATCCTGGTTTGCTGTAGGTTGTTATTATATATTAACAGAAATGTGTAACCCAGCACGACAGTATCTCAGGTTAGTTAAGGATGTTTTTATCATGATAATAATAAACTCTAATGTGACTTATATAATTTACATATAGTTCTGATATCTACTTGTAAATATATATACATAAGCACATGTTTATGGACATTCTGTGTTTAAATATTAGACCACTCTAGTGTAATAATGTTCAGCAAAATTTTACATTGTTCTTAGTCAAAGCAAAATATCAATTTCCTATTTCAGTAAAGCAACTACATTAGACAGAGCTTATGGACCAGCTTGGTTAGCTTATGGTCACAGTTTTGCTGTGAAGAAGGAACATGATCAAGCAATGGCAGCCTATTTTACAGCCTCACAAATTTTACGAGGGTCAGTAGGAATAAGATTGACAATTTACTTTTGACAGTAGCTTGTTTCATAAAACTTGATGCAAATCTATTTTTGCTTCAGGACAGATTTAGAATGGACCCTGTCATATATGCGCACTTGTTATTTTTAAGTTATTTTATTTGCGTATCTAATCATCCATCCAAACTGCTCTAATATTTATTAATATTTGGGAATTAATCAGACATTTTTTGTTACCTATATTATATTATACTATATATATTATATTATATTATATTATATTATATTATATTATATTATATTATTATATTATATTATATTATATTATATTATATTATTATATTATATTATATTATATTATATTATATTATATTATATTATATTATATTATATTATATTATATTATATTATATTATATATTATATATTATATTATATTATATTATATATTTATTTTATATTTTAGATGTCATCTACCCGCTTTATATATAGGGTTAGAATATGGTTTAACAAATAATTCCAAACTAGCTGAAAAATTCTTTAATCAAGCTTTAAGTATAGCACCAGAAGATCCTTTTGTTCTTCATGAAATGGGTGTCATTGCTTTTCAAAATCAAAAGTAGGTATCTCTCTTTTGTAAACAATATTTTGTTCATAACAGGGATTAGGAACAGGCTTTTGCCTATATTGCCATTTTCCTTGATTATTAAAAGATATCAAATGATTACCATATTTTTTTTTATGTATACTCTTTATTCTAATGATGTATTTTTGGGAGCAAATTTCCTCAGAATCTTAACGATCCATTTTCTGTAAATCTAAACACAAGTTCACTAGAAGGATTGTATGCAGTGTTTCTACGTAGGTCTACAGTTGGCTGCATTCACTTGCATTTAAATCAATGAAAGAGCTGCATTTGCAACATCCTGTGACACAAAGTATCTAATGATGTCAAGCTTGAATTTCAGTTTGTAATTGCTTGACATTGTAAAGATGATATATACCAAGCTGTACATATTTTGATTTGATAGTTTTCTCTTTTGATTAGATTTTTACTCTTCCTACAACATTACATCTTTTTATTAAATTATAGTTATACAGAGGCAGAAAAATACTTTCTTGATGCTTTACAACGAGTTCAGAATATAGATAGAAATGTCATACCTGATAAATGGGAACCATTACTAACTAATCTAGGTCATGTGTCACGTAAACTCAAGTAAGTCTATTGATTATTCATAACCACAGTACATGAGGAAACATGTTAGTGAAGGTTTGGCCAGTTTCTTATGAAGTTTTTACAGTGTGACACTCTGAGTAACAGCATGGTTTAGTTTTATAATTCTAATAGAAAGGGCTCTGCAATTTTTTTTAAACTGATTACAAAATGTCTCTTAAGATATATACTATATCTCTACCAATAGATATTATTTTTTTTCAGAAAATATGATGAAGCATTAGATTATCATAGAAAAGCTCAAAGTTTGGTACCTCAAAATCCTTCTACCTATTCAGCTATAGGATTTGTTTATACTCTAAAAGGGGATAATTTGAAAGCAGTTGATTATTTTCATAAGGTAAGTTATTGTTATTATTCATTGAAACATAACTTCTTGTCAGACTTCAAAGATGGGTTCCATTATTTTCATTTATGATAATGAAAATGCTAATATGTATATGAATAGAATGTAGAGATGTTCTAATGACTTGGAAAACACCAGTTTGTCTCACATAATTAATTAATAATTAGCTAAATTAGAAGAGAATTACCAGCAGAATTCAAATGTGTGACCGATCAAGGTCAAAAGTCTATTTTTGGACATTTAGGATTGGTTGAAACGCTTAATTATATGCAATAAGAACATAATGATATGATTAGGGATACATGATAATTCATTAGAAACACTATTAATCAAAAGAAACCTAACTTTAAAGTCCAAACTTATCAGAATTAGAATACCATTTTGTAATTTTTAATTTGATATTTTTCTTCATAGCAATATAACAATTTTTCTACTGCAGTCCCTTATATTATAAAACCAATCAAAGCATGTTATGTTTGAGGACCCGTTTGATAATATCAATTTCAATATTTTTTTCAACAGGCTTTAGGTATACGCAGAGATGATGCTTTCTCAACCACAATGTTAGGAAATGTTATGGATGCTCTAATGTTAGATATGTCACCAGGTTTTGGTATGTTGTCTCACTCTTTTATTTGATATTGGTTTATATTATGATATTATGTATTAAAATTACTGATTGGCAGACAGTTCCAATGTTATATTCTTTAAATGACATTTAGAAGTAGATAAAACATTAAATAAATAACACTATTATAGATATACTACTCCTTTCTTTAATTTCTGCAACGTTTCAATTCACATACTGGAATCTTTATCAAGCAAGTTGAATAATTGTTTTGTTATACTATCAGCTCTTGTGAAATATCCATCAAACAATTAAGACTTTAAGGAAAGAAGGGTAGCTCTTCTGTTATTTTCCTTGTTACATATTCCACCATTAGGACTCTTAGTTGGGGATTCATCAAATCAACCAGTGTTCATTAAAACAAGTTGGAACAGGTTTCAGAACATCTTCTACTTTTGCGAAAAAATAGTAAGTGTGGACATAAAATGGCAGAGAAAGGAATTGAAGGGAAAATTTTGAATGTGACATATTCTGGTTCTGTATACCGTTTGACTGAAGCCAGAATTGGAACAGACGGAACCTGTTCAGAGCTCCCCAATCGTGTGCCACTTAGAATTGCCATTGATGCTCCATCATGATGTCTGTTTTTATTGGCTAATTAAGGTTGAGATATAAAGCTGTCTATAATACCAGTGGTATTTTGATTTCCAGGTTTATTAGATGAAGAAATACCAGAGTTACCTCCTCCTGGTAAATTGAATAAATCTCTAACAGAGAATAATAAAACTAAGGTAGATATTACTTACATTGTTGTACAGCTTGATTATATCAGTCTATAGGAAACATTAAGGGAAAGGGCAGTGGGAGTGGGGTTGGGGGGGCACAGACAATTTCTTCACTATGTAAAATAGACAATAAAAGTGAAGGGGCCAAAGCAGGACCAACTATGCCCTTTTGTAGAAACACCAATGATGTAAAATACAGAGTTTATTGTGATTATTATTTTATTAAGAATGGTACTATGATTGTAGGAATGGGTATTTTGTGAAGAATCAACTGGTCCAGTAGCTAGTACTATAAATCAATCACCAGAACTTGATAATTCAGGAATGTCCATAGAGGAAATAGAGATGGAGGCTAGTGATTGAATATCAACTTATAGTCTTCATACAGTGCTTGTGTGATACACTGTCTTGGCTTGAAGAGATATAAGATCTGTTATGTTGGACAGGTTGTCACAGTGACAGGATTTGACTTCTTTGTCAAAACTATGTCAATATAATTTATTATACTGGTTGTTTTGAAATTAGAGATCTCCCCCTTCCTATTCCACGGATAAAAACTAATGTGATTCAGAACTATATTATTTTATTAAAGTTTTTCTCTGGGTATCTATTATTTTATGTGGCCTCCATCTTCCTGTACCACAACCTACATTCTCAATGGTATCGTTTCGATACACTCAGATCAGATTTCAGATTGGATAGTGTTGGACATATGTATATACAATAAATTATGTATATGTACAAGAGTCATGCTCATGAAATGAAAATAAAGACTATGGTGGGACGACCAGATATAGACAATTGATATATGAATATAGAATCAAAACTCTCAGTTCAGCACCAAGAATGAAATAATTCAAAAGTTTGTGAACAAGAAACATGAATTGTGCCACAAAGGAATCATATTCTTTAAATTTGTTATATTTTGTAAAAATTGTAAAAATAAAAATGATAAATAAATTATTTTTTTTTTCCCCCCCTAACTATTATGTGGGAATCTGGAATTTCAGCTAAAATTATCTGCCCTTATTCATTCCCTATTTATTATAGATATTAGAATAATATTACTAATATTTTACTGTCTTTGGGTATTAGGGGGTAAGAGCACTGGCACAGGCGATGTTAGTCCAGTTATTTCCTTGCCATAAAAAGACAGTGTTCCAGCGTTAGAGAGAAGTAGAGTTATTGTTGCCATGATTACATTCACGAATTGAACATTCATGCTTTTGTATGTCTGATATTGTCGTTTGTCTTCTATACTTAACCACGCGGCAATATATGCATATTGTGTCGTATTGCGATGTATCGATTCACCAATATATCTAAACTGCTTACTAAATGTCCCATTTTTGTGTTTAGTAATTTGGCCACCGGAAATATGGTCACAGTAATACGGGCACAAGGTGTTATGGTCACAGTAATACGGGCACAAAGTATTATGGTTACAGTAATACGAGCACAAGGTGTTATGGTCACAGTAATACGGGCACAAAGTGTAATGGTCACAGTAATACGGGCACAAGGTGTTATGGTCACAGTAATACGGGCACAAAGTATTATGGTCACAGTAATACGGGCACAAGGTGTTATGGTCACAGTAATACGGTCACAAAGTATTATGTGTCCGTATTACTGTGACTACAATACCTTGTTTTGTATGACTGTGACCATACTTTATATCTGATTGGTTAATACATTGATTTTAAGATCAACCAGTTAGATTAACAGATAACAACTAATGCATGATTAACTGATATTTCCAAGCCATACTAACTACGAATGGTTCTATCATGAAAGTAACACACACGAACGTAGTCGAGTTTTGAAAAAGGTTATTATATTTCAACAAAGCCTTCGAATTAGATTTAAAGGTTCAGAAATTGCTGTGTACTACATTCGTGTGTGTTGTTTTCGTGTAAGAACCATTCGTTGTTTCGTATGTACCAAGCCCTCACCAAACATTTCTATAATAAATGAATAAAGAAAAGGAAGTGTTGACATCCTGACCTCTAATCTTACAAACACAGGAAAGTGGCAGGAAATCTGTTTTAATGATAACTTTCACCGTTCAACTTCATTCAGTAATTATTAAACACTCCTGTATATAGGGCATTATTCCTTTATTCACTATTGAATTATATTTAAACTAAAAATCTTGGAAAATGAATTGGATATTTGTGTGTTTGATGGTATTGGTTGTTGTAACTGTAGTGGAATCTAGGAACTCTGGTAAACGTTTTTCATTTATATCTATTAAACTGGACTTACCCTCTTACCTGAAGGTCCAAGGTTAAATTATTGCATAGTTCTCTGTCTGTGTTAGGCTACCCCCTTGTCAGTGATTTGGGTCGAGGGGCTTACATGGAATGAGCGTCTAATCGTACTTATGAGACAATAAATACAGTGTCTTTGTACAAAATCAAAAAGATATATATTTTATGAGCACAAAATCTGAGCCCCAGCACCAATTCATTCCTGGTGTCCTCACAGAACACTGCGTGATATTGCCTGTCTTCATCAGTGGATTCAAGTTCAGAAAAGTAGAAAAAAGAACTCATTTCATTTAATTCATTTTTCCATTATGTCTTGAAATTGAAAGAATGTTTCGGCATCAGATTCTCATGTTGATAAGTGTTACAGATAACAAACTTCCATCTATATAGCTGTGTCTGCTTATCAGCTGTAATAATTTTGGTTGTAGATATATTACTTTAACTGACCTGTAATCATTCTAGTATGTATGGTGAGATGTCCTAGAAGATTTGATTGTAAGTCGAGAATAAGAACTGAGTTTCCAGGCTGCTCCTCTTGTCAGTGTTCTAATAGAAATATTTTATGTAAGTATATCATGTCAATGGTCTAATAGAAATATTCTATGTAAGTATATCATGTCAGTGTTATAATAGAAATATTCTATGTAAGTATATCATGTCAGGGTTCTAATAGAAATATTCTATGTAAGTATATCATGTCAATGTTCTAATAGAAATATTCTATGTAAGTATATCATGTCAGGGTTCTAATAGAAATATTCTATGTAAGTATATCATGTCAGTGTTCTAATAGAAATATTCTATGTAAGTATATTATGTAAGTGTCAGTGGAAACTAACAGTCTTGTTCAAAAATGATTAATCCATTTATTCCCCGATCATAGGGAGCTCATAATTTAATTTTTTCTCTACTTTAATTCATATTCAAATAGAATTTTCAATTGCATGCTATTTGTCTTTGCATTTTGGGTCTTGAAAATATGTCTTCAGAAGTACTGAAAAAATAGCCAAAATCGCATAATTTTTTGGAAAAATACCTCAAACAAAGAAATTCACTTCCCATTTCTATATAGTCTTTTCTATATACAGCAGAGTCTCGAAGGTGGTAAATTCTGGACACACATGGATTTGTGAACACTATTACTTCTTAGCTTAGCTAAACAAATCCCCGAGGTGTGCTTGATCAAACGAATGGCGCAAACGTCCCTTTTAGTTGCCCTCAGACAATAGCGATGTCCAGTTGCCTATGGTTCCGAATAATGAAAGTGGCCATGATTTCCGAACTCAGTTGCATGATATTTGCGTTTAAAGCCAATGACCGCTATTCTGATCCCTATGATGTGACAAGTCAGACAACTTTATTTTGTGATGACAGGAAGAGGTTGTGATATTTGTTTGTTATATTTTATATGATATATTATCTTTTTCAGCATGTCCACAATAGTATTTATACTAAATAAACATGACAAGATCTGTATTTTTATATTGTATATAATTAGTGTCCAGCACTGATTAATTCACACAATGAAAGTGGAAAACATGACGTAATAACATCGGTAATGAATTACTAAACCCCGTTTCTCAAAATATCATAGATTAACGTACGAACGTAGGCGTTATAAATTACCGATTTGATAACGTCAAAAAAACGCTTGACGTGCAAGTTTAGTCGCAAGGATTTTTGAGAAACGGGATCCAGTCATTATGTATTCTCCCCTCTTCACAATGATAAGATATATACAATGCAATCAAACCCCTGCATTTACAAACTTCAGTGATTCAAGAAAAATGCCGAAGGATTACAAGGTATTAAATGCAGTTCGTAGCTCGCCATTGACATTGTCATGAAAGTATCCTCCAAACCAACTTTTGAGTATCATATATAGACATTTGCTCTTTCAGATTGAAAATTCTGAATAATCCATCACATTGTTGGAGTTTGACGCTCCATTGTCCGTAGGAGCATCACACTATGACAGTTTTAACTGCACCCAAACACACGATTTTACTCTTGTAGAAGATCTGATCTCTTTAGCTCTTTAACTGGCTCTGTATCTGAAAAATGTCATTGAAGGTTTCAATTTTATTACAACACTGTTCTCATCATCTAATACAAACAGTGTGGCAATTAAAAATTCAGTCGGTAGTTGGTATTCCACAAGCCTGTCAGCCAATCCCCCCTCCCTCCTCAATGGCACCACTGCCCCATTACCTTCATTTTCCTGGTCGTCTGGTTCTATTCTGTCATACTCTAAACAGGTTATTGATGTATCTGGTTCCACCACACATTTACTGTAGGTCCCTTGAATCTGGGTAGATTTACTGCTTCCACAACCCATATTAAATTCCTCTGTCTACACACTTGGACATCCAGACGTTTTGTTCTCAATTAACAAGACAGATCTTACTAATTAATATATTATTATATAAACTATATGTGATATTTATTTAATATATTTCCAATGTGTCTTGTATGTACACGATGTCAACGAAATTTCAAGCGAAGATTTTTGATGCTTTGAATTGAAACTTTGTCTGTCCTAATGAGAATTTCAATAAAGGCTGCCTTGTAACATTTGTTGAATATCCAGATTTCCAATATATAGTCAATTCGCGAGGTTTATCTTATATCTTATCTATAATCTTGTTGTCTATATTTCCAATGTGTTTGATATTTACTGAATCTCAACGAAATGAAAACCTCAAACGTAGATATTAGATGTTTCGAATTGAAACTTTTTCTGTCCTTCAATAAAATTCACTCTGTCCAATTCAAGCTGCTTTGTAACATTCAACATTCACTGATTATCCACATTTGAATTAAAAACAACTGCCCTTAAGAGAAGTTCACACTGTCCTAGGCTACTTTGTAACCTTCGAATATTCACTAATTATATAATAACGAAATTTTCTTTTCATTTCCTGAGGTATTCGTAACTGTTCACTCTTATATTAGGCTTAATCATAATCCAATGGCCAAGTGTTGCTGTCACCAGCAGCAAATATATATATCTTACAGAATATATACATAATAACATTATGGTATTACTTTCAACATGAAAGATTGTCATTTAGAATTATAATTTTATTGATCTTCTTATAGCCCTGTACGTAGATCGATAATTCCATGTTTAATCCATTGTTTTTATTCGTTGGTAACCCCCAAGGGTAGAGATATTTATTCCATTAGAACCAATTACTCATTAATACATATTTTATAGTAACACGTAATTGGAAACTACACATGGAATATACAGGTAGAATACTAATACAATATTATTATTTACAATTAGAATCTTGAAGGGTCTCGATATTGTGTCTGGAAAAGGTACGAGGCGTTGAACCACTAAATAGTATATAGAACAACACACACAGTAGGTTATATAGCTACTAGAATAACACAAGGAGTAGAATAAATAGTTATTATCATGTATAGAACAATTTAAAGAACACATAGAGTAGACTATAGAGTTAATAAAACAACACATAGAGTAGACTATAGAGTTAATAAAACAACACATAGAGTAGACTATAGAGTTAATAAACAACACATAGAGTAGACTATAGAGTTAATAAAACAACACATAGAGTAGACTGTAGAGTTAATAAAACACATAAATTAGACTAAATAGTAATTAGAAAAACACACAGAAGATTATAGAGTTAATAAATAACACATAGAGTAGACCTTAGAGTTTATAAAACAACACATACACAAGATTATAGAATTCATAAACAACACATAAAATAGATTTTAGAGTCAATAAAACTACACATAGAGTAGACTATAGAATTAATAAAACACATAAATTAGACCAAATAGTAATTAGAACAACACATAGAGTAGACTATTGAGTTAAATAATACAACACATGTAATAGACAGAAATAATAACTACAACACATAGAGTAAACTAAAGAGTAAATAAAAGAATACATGAGTATAGAATATATTTGATACAACACGTTGAGTAGACTACAGAGTGAAAAAGAACAGTTTAAAGATAACAGCAGAATGTTTTATAAATATACATTACTACAGAAAGGGAAGGAAAAAAGAGCGAGCATTCAAAACAGCAACAGTCGTGGTTTTAGTTTTATGACTAGGGTCTTTGAAGAATATCGGTGTACAGATAATAATATATAGGAGAGAAACGGCCTATTCTATCCTTATATTATACTGTGAAGACGATTTATACAATAGCCCTTTCATCTAACGCGACAAACCATTCAATACAAAACAATTTAGACAATATACATATTTGCCCCTCATATCTATTTTGTTGATATGTATAGGTATATATACACAATAAATAATACAATGTACGATTTGTATACACACCATGTATATATGATCTGTAAGAAGTCATGGTGAAATTAAATATTTACTTGAGTTTTTCAATCGGTTTTAGTAGTATTTGGATACTATATCGAATATCATTGGAATATTCATCAATGATAAAATGTAAGACGGTAAGTTGGTTAAGTTTTATGAAGTTTCTTTATTATATTGTGATAATTTTTAAATGACATTTAGGTTTAGAGATCACATAACGTAACGAACACAATTTTATGGTATACTGCTCATGATCTATCTCGACTAATCTTGCCCTACCCGTTTCTCGGATGTATTATCGGTTTTAGTGAGTATGCGCTGATATCCCAACCGTATATCACGTCCGATGAACGGGTAGGGCAATATTAGTCGAGCTACTCATGATAATGGCGATGTAAATTGTTTAAGTGTTGTGTACAATAAACTCAGGAGAAGTATACCATAAAATTGTCTCCGTTATTTGATATTACTTAACGGAATACCCGTATATTTATTAAATAGCTTTATATTTTCACTTTTCTCAAGAAAAAATTGTCAAGAGTTGAAGCGTTATGTACAAGAAAATCCAGGATAAATTCAAAATGAGTTGATGTAGTTTTATCGGTAACATGTGTCTAGCAAATTAAATACAGATTCACCATCTCGATGGTGACCCGTGAACACTATTAATGAAAGGCTTAGCTAAAAAAAATTCCCCGTTTCTAAAACGAAGGCATGATTGTACAAACGACTGCATACTATTTATAATAACTTCATGACTTATAGATTCACACTTAAGCTGACAGTCACTTTCTGTTTTAGGTATTTTAGGAAGTAGGGATCCAACTGGTTCAATAACCGTCTTATTGGTTTTCAAATTGAAAGACAATTCAATATCTAGAGACTTATAAGATGGGATGTAGTGATTCAAAGATAGAGGAAGAGGATTATATTCTTCCACCAACAGACCCAGAAACAGAAGCAAGAAACCCTGTTGTCTTTACTAATAATGCAAATCCTGAACCTCCTAAACGATCCAGATCTCAATTAATACCGTCAATTAAACAATTTTCTGAAATTGATTCTCATGCTCGAAGTGTAAGTTTTTATTTTAACTAGAATACCAAATGTACATTGAAAATGTTGCCTTTAAGCGCGTTCCTATTATTTCCGTTATCCAAGTCCTATGTATTAGGCACGGTTTTGTACTTTTGAAACATTTTACTCATAATATAAAGCCCGTTACTTGTAATACCACGTTGTAATTGTACATATCACACCTTTATACCCGTAATTTATACGACCGTTTTTATCCTGATATAGCGTCATAATTACTCATGATGTAACGTCTTTATTATTCATGATATAAACGTCAGTATTTCCAATAAAGCACAACCTTATAACTCATGATATAAACGTCAGTATTTCCCATAAAACAGATTATTAGTACTCATGATCTAACATCAGTATATCTCATGATATAACGTCAGTATTTCCCATAAAGCATATCCTTATAACTCATGATATAGCGTCATCATTACTCATGATATAAACGTCAGTATTTCCCATAAAGCACATCCTTATAACTCATGATATAGCGTGATTATTACTCACGATATAAACGTCGGTATTTCCCATAAAACACATCCTAACAACTCATAATATAGCGTCATTATTACTCATGATATAAACGTCAGTATTTCCCATAAAGCACATCCTTATAACTCATGATATAGCGTCATTATTACTCACGATATAAACGTCGGTATTTCCCATAAAGCACATCCTTACTACTCATGATATAGCGTCATTATTACTCATGATATAAACGTCGGTATTTCCCATAAAACACATCCTTATAACTCATGATATAGCGTCATTATTACTCATGATATAAACGTCGGTATTTCCCATAAAGCACATCCTTATAACTCATGATATAGCGTCATTATTACTCATGATATAAACGCTAGTATTTCCTATAAAGCACATCCTTATTACTCATGATATAGCGCCATTATTACTCACGATATTAACGTCAGTATTTCCCATAAAACACATCCTAATAACTCATGATATAGCGTCATTATTACTCACGATATAAACGTCGGTATTTCCCATAAAACACATCCTAATAACTCATAATATAGCGTCATTATTACTCATGATATAAACGTCAGTATTTCCCATAAAGCACATCCTTATAACTCATGATATAGCGTCATTATTACTCACGATATAAACGTCGGTATTTCCCATAAAGCACATCCTTATTACTCATGATATAGCGTCATTATTACTCATGATATAAACGTCAGTATTTCCCATAAGGAACATCCTTACTACTCATGATATAGCGTCATTATTACTCATGATATAAACGTCAGTATTTCCCATAAAGCACACCCTTATAACTCATGATATAGCGTCATTATTACTCACAATATAAACGTCAGTATTTCCCATAAAGCACATCCTTATAACTCATGATATAGCGTCATTATTACTCATGATATAAACGTCAGTATTTCCCATAAAGCACATCCTTATAACTCATGATATAGCGTCATTATTACTCACGATATAAACGTCGGTATTTCCCATAAAGCACATCCTTACTACTCATGATATAGCGTCATTATTACTCATGATATAAACGTCGGTATTTCCCATAAAACACATCCTTATAACTCATGATATAGCGTCATTATTACTCATGATATAAACGTCGGTATTTCCCATAAAGCACATCCTTATAACTCATGATATAGCGTCATTATTACTCATGATATAAACGCTAGTATTTCCTATAAAGCACATCCTTATTACTCATGATATAGTGCCATTATTACTCACGATATTAACGTCAGTATTTCCCATAAAGCACATCCTTATAACTCATGATATAGCGTCATTATTACTCATGATATAAACGTCAGTATTTCTCATGATATAAACGTCAGTATTTCCTATAAAGCACATCCTTATTAGTCATGATATAGCGTCATTATTACTCATGATATAAACGTCGGTATTTCCCATAAAGCACATCCTTATAACTCATGATATAGCGTCAGTATTTCTCATGATATAAACGTCAGTATTTCCCATAAAGCACATCCTTATAACTCATGATATAGCGTCAGTATTTCTCATGATATAAACGTCAGTATTTCCTATAAAGCACATCCTTATTACTCATGATATAGCGTCATTATAATTCAAGACATCACGTCGTAAGTTGCCATTATTACTCACTATATAACGTCAGTATTTCCCTCAAATACATCATTATTACTCGTGATATACAGTCAAACAATGTCATTATTACTCATGATATAACGTGATTATTACTCACGATATAACGTCATTAATACTCACGATTATTAGCGATATTACTAGTAATATAGCGTCTCTGGTTTTCATTTAAGCATGTCTTTATTTCTGATGAAAACATGTCGTTAGTACTTATTGTAGAACTCATGCCATCCAATTCGGCAGATTAAGGTCTTGGTGGAAGCTTTGGAAATCAAGACTTGTTTCAAAGTCAATGGCCAAGAGATTCTGTATGATTGCAGGTACCAGATGATGTCAAGTTAACACCACCAACTTTAGTGAAATATCTTGTAGAACCATGTACAAGAGATTTAGATGTAATCCGAGTATTTTATGTTTGGATTTGTTCCAACATCAGGTATGAGAATGTTTGGAGTTTTGAAAAATAAATAATCCTATCTAATTCATAATCAAATTATAGAATGATATTATCTATACGATTCTCCAGATGCAAGTAATATTAATTATTCTGGACATCCTTGGGTAATAAATTAGTTCCTTAAGGGCTATTGAATATAAAACTATCTTGTCCAAATAGAATGGAATGAACAGGGTTGTTAAGTGGCACTTTATACGCTCAGAAACATATATGTGAACTGTAGGATTCGTCCGAAACATGTTATATATTTGTATGCTGGCTATATCTGTTTTAGATACGATGTTGATGTATATAATGGTAAGAAGTCACCAAGTAACGCTCCTCAAACTGTTTTAAACAAAAAACTAGCAGTGTGTCAGGGATATAGTGAGTTATTTGCCCTTTTCTGTCGGTAAGTAGCCTTTTTGTATCTTGAATTGCGCAAATTAGTTATTTTAGTGTATTTTAGGGCTTTTAGATATGAAAAAATGAAACAGACAGAAATAGAAAGCCTTAAAAAAGATTCTTGGCAGTAAATACGCTTATTATTACGCCTTGTTCATATCCAACACTTGGGGCCCTTTTCTCGAAAAAATCCTTCTTTGATATTTGTCGTAAGGTTTTTATTTAACATTGAGAAATACCACACTTACGACAAATTTAATCGTAAATTTTTTTGTGAAACTGGGCCTTCATTTATATTATGTTTATTTGATTATCTTTTGTTTTCTAGAATGGTAAAGATTCCAGTGAAAGTAATAACCGGACATTCTAAAGGTTTTGCCTATAATGCTAATCGTCGTATAACAGAAGACACGGAAACAAATCATGCCTGGAATGCCGTTTATACTCAGGGCGAATGGAGGTTTATTGAATGTACGTGGGGAGCTGGAAGAATGAACGACGACGGAAAATGGGAAAAGGCGTATACTGATCGTCATTTTATGCAGGATCCCGATAAATTTATTAATGCCCATTTTCCTCTGTTGGAGAATGCTGAAGAAAACAGCTCCAAATGGCAGATATTGAAAGAACCCATCACTCTAGAGGAGTTCGCTAGTAGAATCAAACTATATGAAGCTGCTCAAGACTGGGACGTTGATTTCCATCCACATAAACACGTCCAATTAGAAACCAAAGACGTGATTGAAATCTTCGTTAGAGCTAAAAATGTGCCTTTAACTGATGTTGGCGCTCACATGTATGATAGAGAGGGTGAGGCGTATGACACTTACCTCATGGTTCAAAGACTTCCAAATCACGTTTTTAAATTAACAGTAAAACCTCCCAAATCCACAAAATATAAAATCACTATACTTGGTCGGATATCACCCGAGAACGACGGAGGCTATGCTACTCTTGTTGATTATATGGTGGAGGGGCAAGATATATCAGGACCTATCGATCCTTTCCCAGACCATTTTGGTGCTTGGGGAGTCCGAGATCCGACTAAGTTTGGAATTGACGGGAGTATGACATATCGTACAGTGTTTGCGTCTGATTCGGGAAGGATGAGTCTCCCCATTAAAACAATCGGTAACAGCAGATTTACCCATAAGCTCGTCCATGCTGAAAAGGCCATCGAAGATGCCGACGATTTCATAATTCGTGAATTTCAGAAAAATCTTATGGTCTTACACATAAGGTTTCCTTTCAAAGGTTTTTATACTTTAAAAATTTACACCAAATCCAACTCGTCAGATCAGAAAATGTTTACGCACGCTACCAATTTGCTTATCGATTGTCATAATCCCGCAGACATTGGCCCATTTCCTAAAACGTTTGCTGAAACTGATCGTCAGGAATGCATCCTTCTAGAACCAGGAGAGAAAGATGTACCAGCAAACACTGAAGTTGCGTTCACAATTGAATCTCCTATTTTACAATGCGCTATGGTCAAATCGTCATCAGGCTCTACTAAAATGCAAGGTAACAATAAGAATGAATGGAGTGCGACAGTGACTACCCCGGATCCCGGTGAAAAAATAACAATATATGGGAGTGAAACACCAGATCGATATTTAGCTTTGTATCAATTTCGATCAGAGAAAGATCCACTACCAAGTACCAGGGCTAAAATAGAAACTCCTAAATCTCAGACTCAAAGTGAATTTCAGAGCGAAGACGATTTCGAATTTAAGAACTTGGCAGATTCCAATTTAACTATAGACTAAACTCATACTTGGGATATTTATTATAAGAATTATTCGGATATGTTATATCTAAATGAGAACTATTTACGAGAGATTGTGTAACATTTGACAGGCGTTTCAACATAGTAATACTTCCATGTATTCATTTGAGTCGACATAAAATAATGTTCAACATTTATAACTAGATATTGTTATCCACTACTATCAGCTAACAACACCTTTATGACTAGGTATTGTTATCTACTACTATCAGCTAACAACATCTTTATGACTACGTATTGTTATTTACTACTATCAGCTAACAACATCTTTATGACTAGATATTGTTATCTACTATCAGCTAACAATATCTTTAGGACTAGATATTGTTATCTACTACTATCAGCTAACAATATCTTTATGACTAGGTATTGTTATCTACTACTATCAGCTAACAATATCTTTATGACTAGGTGTTGTTATCTACTACTGTCAGCTAACAACATCTTAATGACTAGGTATTGTTATCTACTACTATCAGCTAACAACATCTTTATGACTAGGTATTGTTATCTACTACTATCAGCTAACAATATCTTTATGACTAGATATTGTTATCTACTACTATCAGCTAACAACATCTTAATGACTAGGTATTGTTATCTACTACTATCAGCTAACAACATCTTTATGACTAGGTATTGTTATCTACTACTATCAGCTAACAACATCTTAATGACTAGGTATTGTTATCTACTACTATCAGCTAACAACATCTTTATGACTAGGTATTGTTATCTACTACTATCAGCTAACAACATCTTTATGACTAGGTTTGTTATCTACTACTATCAGCTAACAGCATCTTTATAACTAGATATTGTTATCTACTACTATCAGTTAACAATATCTTTATGACTATGTATTGTTATCTACTACTATCAGCTAACAGCATCTTAATGACTAGGTATTGTTATCTACTACTATCAGCTAACAACATCTTAATGACTAGGTATTGTTATCTACTACTATCAGCTAACAGCATCTTTATAACTAGATATTGTTATCTACTACTATCAGCTAACAACATCTTTATAACTAGATATTGTTATCTACTACTATCAGCTAACAACATCTTTATAACTAGATATTGTTATCTACAACTATCAGCTAACAACATCTTTATAACTAGATATTGTTATCTACTACTATCAGCTAACAACATCTTTATGACTAGATATTGTTATCTACTACTATCAGCTAACAACATCTTTATGACTAGGTATTGTTATTAACTACTATTAGCTAACAGCATCTTTATGACTAGGTATTGTTATCTACTACTATCAGCTAACAACATCTTTATGACTAGGTATTGTTATTAACTACTATTAGCTAACAGCATCTTTATGACTAGATATTGTTATCTACTACTATCAGCTAACAACATCTTTATGACTAGGTATTGTTATTAACTACTATTAGCTAACAGCATCTTTATGACTAGGTATTGTTATCAACTACTATAAGCTAACAACATCTTTATGACTAGGTATTGTTATCTACTACTATCAGCTAACAGCATCTTTATAACTAGATATTGTTATCTACTACTATTAGCTAACAACATCTTTATAACTAGGCATTGTTATCTACTACTATCAGCTAACAACATCTTTATAACTAGATATTGTTATCTACTACTATCAGCTAACAACATCTTTATAACTAGATATTGTTATCTACTACTACTATCAGCTAACAGCATCTTAATGACTAGGTATTGTTATCTACTACTATCAGCTAACAATATCTTTATGACTAGATATTGTTATCTACTACTATCAGCTAACAACATCTTTATAACTAGATATTGTTATCTACTACTATCAGCTAACAACATCTTTATAACTAGGTATTGTTATCTACTACTATCAGCTAACATCTTTATGACTAGATATTGTTATCTACTACTATCAGCTAACAACATCTTTATGACTAGATACTGTTATCTACTACTATCAGCTAACAATATTTTTATAACTAGGTATTGTTATCTACTACTATCAGCTAACAATATCTTTATGACTAGATATTGTTATCTACTACTATCAGCTAACAATATCTTTATGGCTGGGTATTGTTATCTACTACTATCAGCTTACATCTTTATGGCTGGGTATTGTTATCTTTTACTATCAGCTAACATCTTTGTGGCTTGGTAATGCTATCAGCTTGATTGGATTGTACGCTACCAAATACGCCACACATAATCCTCGATTATATGCGCAGTCGTATTGTTTACAGTCTCTTATCAAGGGCACTAATTGGTTTAAGTCGCTAGAGTTCAATCAAATCAAAGCGTTACATTTACAAACTTCCGTAATACAAGAAAGGTGGCTATTGTAGTCAAGGCATTAGACCTCGTTTGTAATATATATCTTGACATTGTGAAGATGGTGAATTGAGTGATCAATTTAATGGCCTGCATAAATTATGAAATATTCAAGAAAAACAACAAGCTAAAGAACTTTATTCTAAAAATGTTTCATGTTTCCCATGTAACATTTGAGGTTACGGTATAACTGAAATAAAAATGAAATAAAGGTGTTAAAAATAGGATTGAAACAAGCTGGATGTGAAATTCAGTTGTAGATTATAGAAGAGCAAAGATTGTTTACATCGGGGTCTGAATTTTCTAGAATGTTGGAGCCACAGGGTAGCAGTTTTACACATTCCGATGTCTGATACAAATTTGGTAGAGCAAATGGGAACTGGCTGCAATCATATGATCCGAATTTAGTCAAAAAACTAGATCAACGGATCCATCCAAACCGATAAACTCGTCTAATACATGTTAAGACTTCATTGTCAAATGAAATATGACAAACAAAAATAGTTTTATCCCTTTTTTTTTTAGACAACTTGTCTATAACATATTAACTTTTTTTTTTCATAAAGTTAGCTGTACCAATTTTTAGCAATGAATGTTTTTGGTCCGATAAATAACAACCTTTCAAATTTGTTCATGTGCGTACCGTTTCCTGTTCTACAACTTAATAGAAATAAATATATTTCTCAAGATGTTTTATTTTGACTGTCCTTTACAGATTCTACCAGCAGATGTAATTCGATAAGTCGTTATAGCGCGACTAGATTTGTTTTTGACGGGATATTTTATGGAGGTCAATCGTATTCAGAATTAGATGTACTTATGTCTAATACATACTACACGATACATCAGTGCAATGTTCAAAGACAAAATACTTCTTTTACTTATGTCATAATACGTCTAATTCACGATGCAAATGTTAAATTACATAAAACCAACGACAAAATACCTAAAATGATACGTGCAATGTCCTTTCACTTTCGACATCACTTTTGAATAAAGTATAATTGTCTTTATGTCTTTTACATTGCACTAGTTACATTACATCTTCGTCTTAGTATCCTCTACATTGCATTAGCGAACGTGTTTTATCTCAACTGTATTATCTTTTTGTGACTTGTGGGCGGAGCCTATCAGCAATATTAAATCATACACAATAACTTCTCCCCAGGGAACTCTGTGTTGCATTTTAAATTAGACGTATTATGACATAAGTAAAAGAGGTATTGTGTCTTTGAACATTGCACAAATGTATCGTGTCGTATGTATTAGACATTAGTACATAGCATCTAATTCTGGATACGATTGACCTCCATAATATTTAGCCAAAAAAATGATATAGCCGTTTTATAGAATTCGATCATTAAAGCACTTACTCATGAAGATTGTTAGTGGCCCAGGTACAATACATGCAACAGCAGGGTCAGATATACATGGTTGGATACATTTGCCATAGGCTAAATATGGAGAGAATGGACCAACTAGATAATCATATTTCTCAGCACAGAAACACAAATTGCCATTCTTGATTGTAAAATAATTATTACCACCTAAAATAAAGTTAAAACTGTTTTTATAAAAATGCAAAAGTTGTCAGAACAGAATTTGAACAAGTAATACAAAATAGAAGGACGTGGTCTTGTCTAACATTCAGCCCATGGGGACAAATATACTGGCAGCTTTTATTTTGAACAAAAATATTTGGCAGTACAGTAACAATCACCAGTATGAAATATTCACCTTTCAGTCATACACTTCTTTTGAATTTTTTGGGGCGATACTGAATAATATTACCAAGTTTTGTCAAAATCAGACAAGAATCATGCCTTTTAATGTTTACAAGATAAAAAAAGGTCAATAACTATAAAATAGTTTATGGTTTTCAATAAGGTTCACTTTGGGTGATTACAAACTCTCACACCAAGTTTCGTCAAAATCTGGCAAGAATTGTGCCTCCTGGAGTGTTTACCAGCTGAACATTAAACACTTTTTAAGAACAAGGGCAATAACTCATACTAAATATTTTTCTGATTTTCAAAAGGGTTCATTATTTAGGTGATAAAAAATTTGGTAAAATATAATAGAACTAATTCATATCTGATCTATGTTTTGTTTTTGTCAATTAAATAATTGAGGTTTATCTTAATTCGGTATAAATGAGTTCTATTATATTTTACCAAATTGAGAATATTGAGGTGAGAATTCTGGAATGTAATTATATAACTGATTTATTTATAAGATACCCGAAAGTTTTAATTGTTCAAAAATTGTTGGCTTAAAAGCGCCTGAGTTGAAAGCTAACAGACTAAAAGTTTCAAAAGGTTTGAAATCCATGTGTAAGGTCTCGTTGCCACGCTTGGAGCCGTTCACAGTTCTAGTTGATTTTCAACTGCCAAGAGACTATTAGCAGACTTAGTTTGTATGACACTGGGCCTCAACTTTATTTTAATATTGATAGAAATTAGTTATATTTACTTTGTAAACACCCATTTCTGCATTTAAGCGTACTTGAAAGAGTAGGGTTTGAGATATCCAGGTCTCCATCGGATAAATGAAAAGCACTAGAATGTAGAGACTGATCGGGATTACAACTAGAAGTAAAATGAGGCCTTGGGTCTGCAAATAAAAGAAGTAAATGGAGAAACATAAC